CAGCCGATCGCGCGATTCCTTGGCTGAATAACTTCAGCACTTTTAAACAGCGCGCTCCGGACACAACTAGTGCGGTTATTTTGGTGCCCAAGTGTGCCCACCTAGAAAAGGAATTTCAAACACGCGGTTGGACCTTACTCAAAGAGTTTACAAAAAACTCCAATATCTTCTCCGAACCTAAACCCGGAGGTGGTCGCACCAGGTCCCCAAACTGCAGCGGCGAGTTTCAAGCATGGCTCGACCCCTGCCAGGAAAAGTCCAAGTGTTCTGCACTAGAACCTCTGACTGAAAACACCGCGCCACTACTACCGTGCAACTTTACTAGCACAAAAGCTGTCGCCTTAGTCGACTCAGGTGCTTCGCACGTTTTCATATCCGCCACACTTGTGCAAAAACGGGGTTTACAGCCCCTCACTAGCCACGTAGCTACTTGCATGCTAGGAGACGGCGCAAATAGCGCCCGCCTCCAAGGTCAGGTGCATACGTCGCTCCGTATCCACGGATTCCGCTGCAAAATCGTAGCGCAAGTTATCCCCAATTATCCACCTCACTCAAGGCGCCCCGAGGACGGGTTCGCATTCAAGAGGGGGGGAATGTAACGCCGCTAAGGCGGCCCTTGGCTCACCGGGCCAACGGTATCGTACCAACGGTACATCCAAGAACTATTCATAATCTTCCAATACCAAACGGTATTTATAAATACCACCTTTTATCGTTGGATATTTTCCGTTCGTAACTGCTTTACCAACTGCAAGCTTTGTTACACTTCGCGCTGCCAAAATTACATACACACATTCGTTTACATCTATATTATCAGTTTGTGCAAGAAATCCAAAAAAAGGAGGTGCGGCGGGCCCGGCCGGCCCTAAGGAGAATCTACGAAAATTTACGACCAGCCAATGGAAAGACCCTCTAAATAGACTGCGATCGTTTTTACTACTGTAGTTCCCCCACGACCCTTTTTATTTCTCATACATTGTATAGGTATGCGGCCACCGACACGCCGATTTGGCAAATCCAAGACCAAGGCCAAGGTCTTGCTGTAGTTGCAGCTGGTTACGAACCCCCAAAACAAATACCAACGCCTCACCAAAACTGGCTCAGCTTGAGAAACAATAGCCAATCATCCCCAAAACCCACAAGCATTAGCACCTAATCAGTTCCACTTGTTAAGTGGCTTGCTTTCCCATCTCTACACGGCATCAGCTGCCAGGTGCTACCTCCACCGCTCCTGGCGCTGCCATCCAGCACTTTTGGCTCTCCGCATTATCGCCGCTGTGCTCGCACACATCCGTACATGAGTGATCACCGACCCGGAAAGGTAAACCACCGCAGGCCATCATTCACCCCTCACCACACTACCTCCTCTTCCTTCCCCTACATGCACACGTATGCAAACCTACTACCGCATGAATCCTCACCACACACTCCCCCTCCTCCTCCACAAGTATCTCCCGTGTAGGGGCTCCACGCATCATATGCGCCACAGGATCCGCTTAACGAGGGGCTGTGTAATCAACGGACCGGCATCTACACCAACGGACTCAACCGTGGAATCACGGATGGTCCTAGTGAGGCCAGAGGTCCACACGGAATATACAAACCGGACGCTCTACACCACCTCTATATTCGCTTTCTGCTTCCATCCCCTGCCAAGAAAGAGATGGATCGCAGAGGCTAAGATAAAAATTTGTCCGCAAAATTGTCTGGTGAGTACGGCAAGGGTACAGCACAGGTACAGAGAGCTGAGAGGTGGGGCAGGCTGCGATGTAGAATGTGAGACGAAGAGGAACGCCAGGTAGGAGAGAGTGTGAGGATGATGTGGCGACAGCCACAGGCAAGCATAATGATTTGACCTAACACGGCTGGGGACGGTGGCAGTAGGGCACGGCGACCCCGGGCCATGTGGCTACCGCTCGCACCTCCCATAGCCATTCCACTAGGCACAGTGTTCGAATAGGCCCGTCGCAAGCCGCGCATGAACTGTGTCCGTGGTGCAACCGCATCTTTCCGGAATCCAATTGGACACACGAGGCAACGGATAGCTAGAATGCTGTTGCTTCCGATTTCACAAAATCACACTTACAAAGAGGACTTGGATGTGGTAACGACTCCACGACACGTTTGGCCACAGGTGGGCCAAGCTTTGTGTCGGAAAGGCTGTGTTTTGAACCTGCTGGCTGGCCCTTTCCTGGATCCGGGTTCACTGAAGTAGCTGCGTGCACTTCATACGTGACCCTTTGGGTTGCACTCCTAATTCTAGGTAATGTGGACACTGCGAATAAGCATCGAGAGCCACTACTTGCTGTGCAAGCAGAAGTGCTAGGAGGACAAAGGGACATTTCCAGTTGACTAGAGCCTCCGTCATGACTAGAGCCTAATGCGAGCCTTATAGGTGCAGGCGCCACACGGCCTTGGTAAGTAACCATGATTCCACCCTCAGCGGTGCCTAGGCACCCTGCCACCAGGCCCGCGCACCAAGCACCACCAGCAGCGCCACCACGTGGTTCCGCGTGCGGCTGCAGCTACCGCCCCGCCCCGCCACCCTGCCCTGCCGCCACAGCCTAGTCGTACAGCTCTGTGTGCAGCAGTCGCTGCTGGCGGCTGCACATTGCCACTGCCAGCCAGCCTCCTGCCACATCCTGCATGGCGGCCAGCAAGCACCGCGCCATGAGGCTGTGCTGCACGGAGAGTTTGCCACCCAGCTCGGCTGTGACTGTGGCAAGAGAATGGCAATCTCCTACGACAATGTCTACAGTGCAGCGGGAGCACTGCTCATGCTCTTGACCTCCAACAACTCCGACACGCTGCCTGTGATGGGTGGCTCCTGCAGCTCTGCAGTTTGAAGCCAGGTGAGGACGTTTTCTATGGAGCGATAGTCCTGGAAGGTCCAGCTCCCAGCCATCTTGCCATCCCGCTGTGCCCGGTCGAGGCTCAGCTGTGCATGGGCGCTGAGCACGCGATGAAAGGGGACCACCGTGCTGCTGTAGTATTGTAGGGGCCGTGCCTCCAGGTCGCCGTATGTTGTGTCGCCGAACGCATTGGTCAACTCAGCATAGCCCTTGCTATTGGGCCCTCCCAGCCACTGGCAGTCGGCGAGCTTCTGCAACTTGAGCTCGTCCCACAGGATGTGTAGCTTGAGCTTCTTGTCTGCCGGGTCCTCGTAGAAGCAAACAGCCGAGTTGTAATAGGCACGCTCGATGGGCTGCAGGGAAACACGTGATGCGGCGGGTCACACTGCTGCAAGAACACAGGCAGCGCCAGCCGCCACAGGCTAGATGGCATACTGCATCAAGGCCAAGAGAACCGCCTCTGCATGCCATACGCACGTGCCCATGCCCGAGCTACAGCGCTCACATTCATGTAGGATGAGGACAATGCAAGCACGAGTGTTTGTACCTTGGACAGCAGCAGCGCGTTGCGTGGTGATGAGACGTCCTCCTTGGACAAGCCCAGCAGGTGGCACGTGCCATCTGCCCAAGACAGCTTGCACAGGTGTGCAAGGCTGACGCAGTTTGGGGGGATGCCTTCCCCCAGCAGCTGGCAGCCCTTCACCCCCGCACACTGCAGCTGCGACTTCAGCGCAGATGTCTTGCAGTCTTCCTCCGACTCCTCCGACTCGCTGTGTGTTGCAGTGGAGCTGTCACGCCACACGAGCACCTTTGAAACTAGGAACGCCATAACTGACTCCAGCTTGCTGGCCTTCCTCTGAAGGTCCGCCAGCGTCACTGTGTGTGTGGGGGGAGGGGTCACGGCAAGGGTAAGCCATGCACTCACTCTCTTCGACTCTTGCCATGCCCTTAGCCCCCGGTCACTAGCACCCCGTGATCCAGCCAACTTAGCACTGGACTTGTCAGTAAGTACGGCCAGTCGCCCAGTTGAAATGCATGCAGGATCTTATTAACGCAACCAACACAGGAACGAACGGGTACAGAGCAGCAGCAGAAAGGGACGGACGGAACAACTTCCAGCTGACTTACAGTACAGCATAGGCGCCGGGGCCCAGGCCCACGCTGCAGCCCATGCACCCACCGTGCCATGCCCGAGCGAGCGCCCCACCCACCCACCCCAACCTGCCTACAGCTGGTGCGCTCTATGCGAGCTCCCCTGGGGTGGGTGTTGGGCGGGTGCTGGGGCCAGGCCCGCCACCCGCCAGCCGCCCATTGCTGCCTACAGCTCCCAGCACGCACCCAACACGAGTGGGCGCAACCAGCTCACCCCGCAGCCCTCAGCAACGACCCACCCGCCCCACCATGCGACGGCCTCGCTGCTGCCCTTCCGATATAGAGGCCAGCACCCCTGGCAACGGCTTCCGCACCCCCGACAAAGGCCTGCTTCTTTCCTTGCTTCTGTAGTGGGGGACAGACGAGCCTCGAATTGGCCTCACCTGTCTTAATGCCATAAGCGTTCAGCCAAACCCCAATCGTTCCCCCTGAGGATCGGTTCCCTTCCCACGAGCGCCAGGCCTAGAGGCCCTGCAATGCAGATGGGGTCTCACCGTCAGCTGCCGTGCTCCCGGGGCCCGGCCCTGCCGCCGCGCCTGCATGACGAGAACGTCACATGTATGCAGGTCAGGATTCTTGCACATCAAGCTGTATCCTGAAGAGACAGAGGCGGTGGTTGCGCAATTGGGGATTCAATGTGCAATTGGGGATTCAATGTGTGCGGGTCTGTGCTAAGTGCCACAATCCCGAGGAAAGACCTGCGTAAGTATTGGAGCGCAAAGCTTTTTAAGCAGCCCCTCACTCAAACGAAACGCAGGGTACGACGACCAGAATAAATATTCCGTACAACTGTGTGAAGGCCATGGCGGGCTGCACAAAGGCCAGCTCTCAAAACCCAGGAGTGCGGGCTTTACGCATATGTGTGCAAAAGATGCAGGCATGCGAAATTCAAGAGCCTTCAAGAGCCAGGAGTGCTGGTGGGATACGCATATGCGTGTGAAAAATTCGCGGGCGTGCGGTGACGGACGCCAGATTGGCTGCTGTGAGAACCGGCCAGCGGGTTGCCCCCACTACTGGGAAACACCACAGCATGAAGTCGAGCAGGCGCGTCCGCATGTCCCTTGGCATGCAGGAGTCCACTGAACGAGGGAACTGCTTAATGTCGAATTTAATAAATGCGAAAACAAAGAAAGTAGAAAGACAATTAAAAAATATAAACACCAACATAAAGGAAAGCTCACGGCGACACGGGAAGCAAGGGGCAATGTTAATTAATAAAAAAAGGAAGCTTTCAATTGAGAAAAAAGAAACAAGGACTTCGTTAGCTTGGCTTGCTGAGCGACAGGGTCGCAAAGAGATTCGTGGCCTTGCTCCATGCTTCTGCAGCGGCCAGCTGCCACACCTCGTCCTTATTGAATGCTTCTGAAAGATGTACATCAGCTTGGCATCCTGGGCCTCCTGGTCCATGGCTTGCGTGCAAGGCGTGCTAGGCGACACTGTAAAGTAGCGCTTTTGCAACCGATGCAAGGGCTGCTGAGCTCTGAGGTCCAGCTACTGTTTACGATCTATAGTTGTAAGCCTCATTTCTGCTGACCGCTCGTTCGTGCGTTGTTGTGTTGGGATGCGAGAATGCAGAAGCACAACAAAGGGGGGGTACCCCCCGGGTACCCCCCGTTTTATGCCATAGGGCATGTCTTAGCCCTACAGCATAAAGCTGGTGCATTAGACACACCCACACAGTCTAGACCACATCAGGCACAACCAGACACCACTACTAGTTACTTTCCTGTATTATGTTCAGGCAGCAGTCTGGTGCTCATCAGGTGACACCAAGATGCATTGACCCTTTTGACATGCAGCTTGACCCTGGTTGATAGTATTCTGGGCATATCACTAGATCTGCATCCACTGTTCGGTTCTTTTCTGAATTGTTGAGATAAAACTATTAATATAGAGCAGGTATTAGTCCAAAGCCAAGGTGCGATACTCAGACCATTTGTCTCTATATTGTTTATGTGGACTATAATATAGGTGCTGACGAAGGCTTCAGGCACACACACTTCATGGCTCACTTACATTGCATCTTGAGACGCAAGAGCTTCTCCTCGCGGAGTTGGCGCTCCTTCTCGAGAAGTTTGAGCTTCTCCTCGCGGAGTTGGCTCTCCTTCTCACGGAGTTGGCGCTCCTTCTCGCGAAGTTGGCGCTTCTCCTCGCGGAGTTGGTGCTTCTCCTCGCGCGAGTGAGCCAACTCATCTTTGTCCTTGCATGCTTTTAGTGCATCCTCCGTTGCCTCTATCTGCGACTCGACCTCCTGTATTTTCCTATCAAGATTCTCCATGAGCTTCGCAATCTAACACCAGCGGAGTTGTGTAACCAGAGCTCAGACTGTAAGGAACATAAAGCACATGCTATATCTACTTCGTAAGGACAAAGTCTCTGCTGGCGGAAAAATGGAAAAGCGGTTGCCGTACCTACAGGGATTACAATTCACCGTAGGAAGCTGAACACATACGTGACAAGAACCATGAGTTATGCATTCACTTGTGTAAAGGGAATTCTTATTGAGTTGCAGCATAAGGCTCCATGGAAAGGACGGCCAAGACCTCGAGGCGAGACGGACGGCCGAGACCCCTCGGGCCGAGACCTCGGGCCGAGACCTCGGGCTGAGACATCGGGCCGGGCTGAGACCTTGGGCGTCTATGAAATAAGTTTGCCCTGGTGACTGATTACATAGCTAGGCAGGTGCATCGCTATGCGAATTGCGTGGAGCGCCTTGGCAAGCAAACGCCGGTCACCTAACGTCGACGCTCGCGTAGGACCTGTCGAAATGTCGCCGTAACCAGGGCACTCCATGACGACATGATACTCATCTTGAAACCCGATCCACCCTCACCCTACCAATGAGACTGTTGACCTCAATCACCCAACAGCACAAACGAAAATGAATTAAGATCCTATGATGCCGAGAAGGGATGTAAATTCCAAGGTGGCGTGAGCACCCCATTCATTGCACGTAAAGACACATTTTCAAGCCCGGTTGAGGTGTCAGAAATGATCCTCAAATTGGACTGACTGGGAAAACACGTCCCCTTGCGGAACGGAGGTGCTTGAAAAGCATCCATATATGGGGTGACGAGGCAATGATGTTAATCTCTCCCCCTGCACCAAGCGAGTCGCACACTTCAAACATTCCGCCGGAGTTTTGCCAGGCCTGCATGACTCGAGCCGCTTTATGGCCTTGACCACCAGGTTTCTTCACCAGGGTACCCAAAAGTTTCGGCCGTGTCCGAAATCCTCTGCATAATCTTTCGGGGCTCTCCCCGAAAAATTTCCTGTCAGCCAGAGAGTGTTTTCGGGTACCCCGAAACTGTCTGAAGCGGTTTTCGGGGTACAAATGAGCTGGATTCTATCGTTATATGCTAGGGCGGCTGAACTAACAGATGTTTTGATTTTATTTTGGTACATAGCGCCTGGGAGAAATATTTCAGCAAGAATTTTACCCAAAACCAAGGAGGCGTCGCTCCTCATCCATCTCTGCAGCAATCGCCTCCACCACACCTGCCACATCATCATCTGTCTCCTCAGACGGGTACACCTCATCACTTGCCACACTCTCAACCTCCTCGTTATCAGAAGGATAATAGGCCTCAGCTATTTCACTGCCCACACTGCCCTCATCATCACTCTCGTCAGGCAGAACACAGTCGCCCACCTTGGCAATACGGTGCAGGAGCCCATCCGGGTTCTTTGCAACATACTCCTCAGCAGCTTTAATCACAAGGGGTTTGCATTTCATATCCACGGTTGGATCGAGTAATCCAACACGCAGAAGGGAATCAATGGACGGGACAGACAGCCGGTTACGCAGCCTGTTCTTGATAATGCGGTGGACACTAAAGCCACGCTCAACACACACTGTTTGAGTGGGAAGGACACAAGCGACATACACCAACTGAATCAAGCGTGGAAAGAAGTGGACCCACTTATGCATTCCAGCCCAGGCCCGCTCCCAGGAGGTGCGGCCCAGCTCCAACTGCAAGGCCATCTTAGACCTCATCAGGGTTCGACACTGACCTTCCTGGAACTTGCGGGCTCCCCCGTACCTCCCAAATTTTCCTTACGGAGGGGCCCCCCTACCAGGCTCCTGTACCGGCCGAAAACCTTACGGGGGCCCCTGTAACCCCCGCAAAACCTTTACGGGGGCACTGTCCTTGGCTGAAACACTGTGGAAAGTGACGCTTTGCATTTTTTTGCCCTGTAAATCGTTTTTTCGTTGTTTTTTCGTGAACCATTTCACTCGGGGACACGGCACACTCAGTGAAAGCCAAGCGCCTTGGCCGCCGCGGCCGCCCATCCCTTCTGCTCCTCTTTCTCGTCCTCCTCATCCTCGTCCTCCTCATCCTCGTCCTCCTCCTCATCCATGCACGACTCATCGGTATCTCGTTCTACGTCGGTCTCGTAGTCACTGTCACTAAAAGCCTCATCGTCACTAGCGGGGTATGTTGCTTGTACCAGTACTTCAATCTCTGGGTCAGTCGCAACCTCCTCATTATCATCCTCTCCGTATGGCTTCAAATTAATTTTAAGGTGGCGCCGCATAACTGAAAACTCTTTCTGCAAAACGTCAAGTTCGCTGACATCGAAGGCAAACAGGCGGTTAGAGCTTGCCGAGTGGCAAAAGTGTGCTAGCAACTTCACGAACTCCTCCTTACGGCCATAGCCACGCCGCTCTTCCTCAGACATCCTCACATATGTAGCAGGATCAAAAAACCGAAAGCACTTCAGAAGCTCAGTGTCTCCAAAACGTGCATCCAAATGCTTCAAAATTAAACCCACAAACCGACAAGAAACCGACAGCTGCTGACAAATGCTACAGCCACCAATCGCGTGGCCTTGCTTATTTTTGCCGGTTTGCTGCCACCAGGGATACTTCTCCGCAAAGGCTGCCTGCCCAATGTCAGAGACAGACGCCTTCGGTAGCTTGCCTGACAAGTCGACCACCTCAGGTGCAGCCTGAGCAGGCGGGGGTTGAGCCATCATTGGCTGCCCAGGTGCTGCTGCAGTGTATAACAGCGATTGCTGGTTAGGTTTCTGACTACATTCATAATAACGATGCAAGACTGTCGGTCGACAAAACGTTTGAAATTTGCAGCGACCTTATCGAAACTTACAGTAAATGTTCACTGAAAAATGTTCAGCAGCTTTGCCATTAGCAGCAGGAGTAGAAGTGACTGGGGATTTCTCTGCATAGTACGAAAACTGCCCCTAGGTAATAGCAGTCACACGAGCCGCGGTACCCTCCATCGCTATGGGAATCGAACCCACAACAGCCACCAGGTGTCGGATGAAAATAAGTTCATCCTATCCATGCCCAGCACATCCTTCACCGCCGCCAACTCCATGCACATCACCCCCGCAATGCCTGTACCTCTGGCGCAACCCCAACCGTGTGTGGGGCCCTTCCTTTGACAGCACCACCGGGCCCATGTTGTGTACACATCCTAAAACGTTTGCAAGCTGTGGCGGATCTCACCAGTACTGCTCAGCAGTAGCAGTAGCAACAACGCTTGCAACGAAAAACCTACCTTCCGCGACCGGCACCTGCTCTTCGAGGACGACCTGCACAATGGGGAAGGGAGAGGGGAAAAGCAAAAGCGAGCTCATGCGCTTGCAACTAAGTGCTCACCATGGCTGCCACCGCAGCCGTTTCAGGTGTATGAATGCGAGAAAGAGGATCAGCAACATTCTTGCAGCCCGGCCGGTACTACCACGTGTAGTGGAAGCAGCTCAGGAACTCTTGCCGCCGTGCTTGGCGTCGGGACAGGTCCTTCTTGGTTTCAAACCAGATGTTCGGGTGGTGGTCCGTGACCATCATGAAGGTATCCTGTGCGGTCTCAAGGTACAGGAACCACTCCTGTGTAGGGCATTGAGTACACAGTAGCTCTTGCTCTGTGGTAGTGTAGTTGACTTCGGCAGGTGTGAACTTCTTGCTGGTGTAGGCGACGGGGTGGCCATCCTGCAGCATTGCACCGCCTGTGCCGTGGATGCTGGCGTCGGTTACTACTTTGAAAAGGGTTTGGTAAGGTCAGGAAGGCGCAACAAGGGGCGTTGACGAGGGCGTTTAATTTTTAATGCCGTCGAATCCTGCTGGTGCATATTCTTCCATTCGAGTCAGCCGCTTGCTGCCGGGGAGGGTCGTGAGTGGAGTCGCTAGCGACGAGTACCCTTGGATGAGCTTGTGGAGGTTCGCAAGGCCCAGGGAAACGGCATCGATTTTTCGGGGATCCACCTTAAGTCCATCGTGACCAACGATGTGGCCTAGGAAGTTGACTTTGGGCTTGTTCATCTCGCACTCTTCACGCTTTGCACGGAAACACGCCCCTTTGAGGTATTCGAGTACGGCACACATGCTCGAGGTGGCTGGTCGGATCTTTTCTGAAGATAAAAAGGATATCGTCTAGGTAGACAACCCCAGTAACCAGCGTCGATGTGCCTTTTGGGCGGGGCTCCAGCGCGAAGCGCCCAGGGGGCCCCCACTCTGTAGCATTGCCCATGTCCGTGTGGCCGTGTGGCCATGCGGCCGTGCATGTAACACCAGGCAAAGAGTACTCAGGGAGATGCCAGGGGAGCTGATCCCTTCTTACATTCCTTCCCCCCCTCGAGCGAACGTCGTCGGGCGTCCCCAGGCATATCCAGTAGGATTTAGATTGTTTTGAGACCTCGTAGGATTGTGAGTATGTTTGATAGTGTGACATTTCGTCAGTCTCCGTCCGAGATGGAGACCTTTGTATTTACTATGCTGGTAGACTTCTCGCCCACCCGGGCATCCACCTTTGGGGTAAGAGTATGCTACATCGTACATAGTGTGCGATCTGTTAGCTGCCGGATCAAATACGGGGACTTCCCACCCTCTAGCAATTCGCACCATCGGAAATCAGCCACTTCAGGGAGACCCAGGCCCACTTATGGTTCGGGGGTACGATGGGAGAATGAGAATAAGGAGACGTTGTCGCGGCTCGTGATGGATGGCATCCTCCTACCTGGCAAGACGCACCTAGCTTGCATGAATCCAGAACGCTGTGGATGTGGCGGATTCGGTGGAGCATCTGGTCAGCCATGCTCGCCACGCATATAATATATATTCTTCTCAGGAAGCGGCGGTAGGAGGAGTCACCCGGAAACAGCTCTGGCTAGTACAGCCCCCAGCTGGCTGTGAACAGGCTGTATGGGACATAGTCGCCGGATGCTGCCGGCGGATGCTGCCTGAGGGCAACTGACTGGGTTGTTGCTGGGCATGTTTGTGTTGCTCGTGTTGTTGGTATTCTCTCCTAAGAGGCGCGGCGCTGTAGTCTGCTGATGTATTATCACGGCGTCCTTGGTTTTGGAGACTGCGCCGGGCCTGAATGTACGGTTCTGGCTTTAACGCCGGCCTGTGACCAGCATCGGTTCCGTGCCGACCATGATTTCCAGTGTGGTCGCCATGGTTAATCTTACATTGCTTGCGCGGCGGGTCCGCAAATGTTTCGCGACTTCGCCCAGCAACTCGCCATCCTCAAGGTCGCTACCGTTATCCATCTGTGTTGGATTGACCCATACTAGATGACTCGATTTTCCTCCTTTCATGCTGAAGCTAGAGCTAATTCCACGAGGGGAGTCGTGCCCTGTAAGTCTCCGTTCGACTGGGGCGGCGGAATGTCCCGGTTCACCTGCTTTGAACGCTTCAAAAAGCTTTTTAGCTAGATATCCTGTTGTGTGAATTGGTATATAAACGCCAGCCTCAGACCGTTGATACGAGTCCAATGGTGAGGTGAACCGTTGCCCTGTAACAAGCGGTGATATCTGCCTGACTTATTGCCAGGTTGGTGGGGCTCCGTAACACTTATGAACCATGAAAGAGAAGTGGTATCCTTGCTCCGCAAACTTGCCGTGCGCTGGATCCGAAACCCATTCCTTCCGAATGCACACGGGTTGCTCCATCTAACAAGTACTGTGCTGGATATGAACTAGAAATTTTATGTTTGGCACACTGCCTCATGCATCCTGAGGCAAGGCCATTTTTACTTGCTAAATAGACTGCGATCGTTTTTACTACTGTAGTTCCCCCACGACCCTTTTTATTTCTCATACATTGTATAGGTATGCGGCCACCGACACGACGATTTGGCAAATCCAAGACCAAGGCCAAGGCCTTGCTGTAGTTGCAGCTGCTTACGAACCCCCAAAACAAACACCAAGGCCTCACCAAAACTGGCTCAGCTTGAGAAACATTATGGCCCCCAGCCAATCATCCCCAAAACCCACCAGCATTAGCGCCTAATCAGTTCCACTTGTTAAGTGGCTTGCTTTCCCATCTCAGAACAAGGCCTACACGGCATCAGCTGCCAGGTGCTACCTCCACCGCTCCTGGCGCTGCCATCCAGCACTCTTGGCTCTCCGCATTATCGCCGCTGTGCTCGCACACATCCGCACATGAATGATCACCGATCCGCCACAAATGCCTCCATCTGCCATCGCCGCCGCGCTCAAAGCGCCTCTGGCCTTAACAGCGCAGGGGCCGCCTCCAGCGCCCATACCCGGCTTGCAACAATGTCGCCGCACAGGTAGCGCTGATAGCGGCGGCAGCAGCAACCACGGCGGCGGCGGTCACGACCAGGTAGCGCAGTCGCAAGGCAGTCGCAGTGCCAGACGTACGGAAATTGCGGCGGCGGCTGTGACGGGTAATGCATGGTTGGCGGTGGAAGCGAACGCCACGGCACCTGTACAGCCCTGGCAGGCTAGCCTCAGTTGTAATGCCGGCGTCGGCGGCGACGGTGGACACGTCCCCTCCACACCCTCTCCAGGACCCACGTCCCCGGATCCCTCCATTGTGACATCTTCGATTGCTGCTAGGCCTACTGCAACCAGAATAACAACCACAACCACGAGTGCGGCCACTGCAGTGCCCAGTATGGCCATCGCCACATGTAGGACAGGGACTACACCGTTTCCAATGAGCCTACAGGAGTGTTGTTGTAAGGTAGGGGGAATGCCGAGGCAGAGGGTCAGATTGGGACACCGGATCCAGGTTTGGATATAGGTTCAAATCGGGATCCAGATCTAGATCTAGGCTTTGTACCACCACCCCGTGTGGGACCCTCCGCGTAAAGCCTGAGGGGAGGGGGGAGGGGGGAGGGGGGAGGGGGACCCAGCCAGGACCTCACCGGGTCGTCCGCGTGTCCGTTGGACGTACATGCCCAACCTGCCTCCCACGCTTCCCTCCTGCCCCGCCCTCCGGCACTTGGACAGCTGATCCTTTTCGAGTTGTTATTTTTGTGCAAACTGCCTCAAACTGCATCGTATGAACTCCCCCATTGCTCGTCTACTTCCTGCCACGCTCCGAAACCCCCACAAACTCCCACACCCCCACGACCCCGGGCAGGTGATCATCCGCCACGTCAGCGTGTACAACTGCCTGGAGCTGCTGGCGGTTGTGAGGGGCCACCAGGCGCCCTCCCTGGAGGCCATAGCGGCGGCGTGTGTACGGTACGCGGTTAACAGGTAGGGGGGAGGACGAGGCAGGGCGAGGGGGCCGAGCGGAGGAAGGCAAACCACAGACGAGTGGTGCTGACATCCGAGATCGACAGATTCTCCAGGAATTGACGGGTACATGGGGCGATGCGGTGAGGTGCGGCGGTTTGTATTGTCGATGACACTTGCACTTGCATGGCTGTAGCCGCTCCACGTCATTAGGGTGCTCCATTTCACTAGCGCGTTGAGGGCCCTATGATGCCGCATTTCGTTAATGTCCCCTTCATCACCTTTTCGCTTATGCTGGGGGTCGCCTTCTCGCCGGTGTCTTCCTCGTACGCAGCTTTGAGATGCTCCAGGGGCTGTGTAGCGAGGTGCAACTGCGGCAGGCGTTGTCGGACGAGGTGTACGACAATTTGGTTTCGGCGCAGCAGGAGCGGCTACAGGCAGTGGCGGACATGCGGCGAGTGGGTCGGGTGTTGGATCGGCAACCGCTGCTGCTAGGGGATGGGGGCCCTAGACAAGTACCCTCCGTGTCAGGTATGTCGTACATCCGTGTGGGGTTATTCGTACATCCGTGACCTCCGCGTCCTCTATGGAATCCGTATTTGTATGATTAGTCCAATTTCGCATGTATCGTATGGACTAGGTGGGCGTGCACGTGTCAAGTGTACTTGGTGCGAGCCTTTTGCAAATGGAGTAATGTGCGGGGTAGGTGCCTAATGCATGCACGTTTTTATGTACGTCTGTACGTATGTGCTTTAGGTGAGAATGTGTGTAGATGGCACTCGTGCGTGGGGCATTCGGAATCCGACCCCTTATGTCGAAATAACGGCGCGTAACGGTGTAACGCGGCGAACCATTTGGTACATGTTAACGCAGCAAAGCTTGTGGATCTCTTTCATATGCCTTGCAGGTCGGTATGTGTCGTACCCGCCCGAGGCGCTTCAGGCAGGGCTGTCCTGGCCCGAGGGTGTCCAGGCCCTAGACCGGGAGACGTGGCTGGCTGAAGAGGACTTCAAGCGATTGTTCGAGGGATTAGAGTGGGCGGAATATAGCAGGTTGCCGGAATGGCGGAAGACGAGGCTTAAGCAGGCAGCGGGTCTGTTTTGAGAAACCAGCTTTGCGCAAATGTGTTGCACTGCGAAGTGCATCCAGGATTTGTACTGCGGGTGACAGTTTCTGCTAGAAGCTTCCTCAAAAGCTGTTGATATATTTTTTACACGAAGGACGATGCGCCTTATTTATTTCATCATGTAACCTTGGCGGTAAGGCGTTGCTTTGTGCAAATGATTAGGTACGGCATGAGCGCAGTACAACTTTGTTTGTTTCGGAAGAAACGTTGTTCATGTTGCTGAGTAGTGCTATTGCTTGCAGCGCGGGCACACTGCTGGAAACTGCGATCGTTACAAGGAGTCTTCTAGTCAGGAGCAGGCCAGGAGCACCTCTCGCTTGGTTGCATACCGCTCTCTACGTTAATAAGCTTTTGATATAACATAATATGCTGCAAGTGGGTCAAGCCGAACGTGCGACAGCACGGCGAGGTGCGTCACTAGATGAAGTCATTTACCACTCGGTCGAGGCTTTTTTTGCGTTTCTCTAAGATGTTTCGCTTCAACAAGTTAAGCATTGCATGAAATATCGATAACAGCCGCTGTTACGGAGTTCAGGCTAAGAACTATGTAAACCCTGCCGAATGCAACTCAGGCATCAGCTCAGCGGCTTTCTGTGCGCGCGGTGCACAAACAGCAAGACGCATCATCAAGGTAAGAACCACGCTGCAATGAAACCGTCTTTCGTCTTGCACGCTAACCATGCGACAACTCACTTCCCTCTTCCATCAGAAGTGCGTTCACGTACATGTCGTCCTTGTTCCTGGCAACAGGTCAAAGCCAGCAACGAACCTGGGCCCAATTATCGAGTCCCATACAATACAAATGTGAACGCGGCGCCGCGTATCCAGCTGCCACCGTTTCTGCAGTCCAGTCAACAGCAACAGCCTGCGCTTGCACTCACCCCGGCTGTGGAGGGCGCGTTCAAAGCCACCGGGCGTACCGTCGTCATTACCGGCGGCTCACAGGTTAGACTCACAGGTTAAATTTAATTCCTTCAAAAGATTGCCCTAAACCACCCATGGCTGCTGCAAGAGAATTCTCTGAGGCTGCAAGACACATGGACAAGCTTTGTCGTACAGTACGATGACAGGCTTGTCGGCACGCTATACGTCCTGACAGAAATGAACCTCACATTGCGCCACTCCAGTTATGACAACATGACAAGTTAAATTGCAGAGCAGCAGGCAATTCGCGAAAGAAGACACTTTTGCTAACGCCACCACATGTTCCACCATCGTACCCTCTAGCCATACACAACCCCAACTCCAGCCTTGACTTCTACCCCAGACCTCTCTTTCCCCCGCCCTCCACCCCACCGCATTCCTGGTGCTTTGAATGTCTGCCATTTATCCGTTACTTCTTGTTTTACATGATTGCCTTCCTTCCGCAAACGCGCAAACGCGCACATCCTTCCTTCTACAGACACACATACAGACAAGAGAAACACGCACGATCACCACGCCCTCTGATGCTTCCCGCCTGCCAGGGTGTGGGCCGTGCCGCCGCGCTGGTGTTTGCACGCAAGGGCTACAACGTGGTAGTGGCGGCGCGCGACGAGTCCAAATTAGGCTATGTGGTGGAGGACTGCGCTCAGGCGGCGGGAAGGGCAGGTGCGGCGATGGCGGTGCCTACTGACGTCACGCAGGTACGGCATACCGTATGAAGACAACTGTCGTGCAGTTGGGTCCGGGTACTAGTTTTTCCTCTTGAACAAGGAGGCTCGACAAGGCTCGACGAGATTTAGGAAAAACTACGTGCGCCGGGCTGTGATGGTGGGTGTAAGGAAGCACCATTGGGTGGATGCGGGGTTCGAGCTGCCTGATGGATTTTTGAACGCATAGACCGAGTACGGAAGTGCCGTACCTGCCGAGATAATGCCATTCACCTACATGCGCCGTGTTATCCTCCCTACCTACACCACTCTAGGGACACCGACCCTGGAGCGTTTCCTCCATTCCCCTAACCCCCAACTGCCACAACTACCTCAACCCACCAACGAACTCCCAACCAACCGTAACAAACTCCCCCCATCAGACATCGGCAAACGGGGTATTTCTGGTTTTTCGGGAAGGGGTCTATTTCTGTCTTCCAGTACAATTTTTGTTACAAGGCCGTGGAGTGGAAATATGCATTTTTTTGCAATAGTTTGACATCCTGAATATGTGAATCCCGACCTCTAGCGACGTATGATCCTATTTCTGCTTCGATAACCTATTTGTGTTTTCGGGAATTTCGGTACGGCCCGAAACTTCCGAAGCGTTTGCCGATGTCTGCATGCGTCTTGGCTCTTGCGGTCCAGCCGCCGCCGCCCAAACCCCAAACCCCTCGCCATCACAAGCCGACCCATCCACCCATCCACCCCTCACCACCACCACCACCGCCACCGCCTCCCCAGGAGCGGCAAGTCCAGGCGCTTGTGAACACGGTGCTGGCTAAATTCGAGTCCGTGGACGTGCTGGTGAACTGCGCCGGGGTATTCGCCCGGGGTGCCTTTGAGGCCACCCCCATGCTGGTGAGGAAGTGCACGTGCATGTGTTTTTGTACCTATATACTTCATGTGTATTTTAGTTATTGATATTTTGCATGGATGTGTCATAGATGTATTGATTGTACGACTTAGATTACACTGTGGGCCGTGAGAGCCGGGGGCCGAAGCCGAAACACTGCGCAAGGGTCGGGAGCACACAGCACAAGTCGGTCAGTCTTATGTGCTCCCGCCCCCTACTCAGACTGCCAACACACTTCGCAGCCACTCCGCAGCACCTCCATCCGGGGATGGCGCTGCAGTGGAAACACTGTTAAGGGGTTCTCAGGTCCCGCAAGAGCGAGTCCACAAGTCTCAGCTAGGGCAAAGGCAAAAGCTCTCCGAAACACCCACCCAAACCACGACCAACGACAAAGGGAACCCAAGGGAAAGAAAAACCGAAAAAAGAAAGAGAAATATGTGTGTATGTATGTGTGCGCGTGTGTGTACCTCAGAAGGGAATAGCGCCCATATAAAGGCACGTTGGCCTCGTCTCTTGGTGCCTAGGTCCCTTCCACATCACTTCCCTACCCTCACTCATCCACACTCCCTCATTGATGCAAACACAGTTCCCCGGGACAGATGTCCGGTAGGACCCCACACTCGCACCCATATCGTCCGCTGCTTAACTTCCCTTCCGCCGCCGCCGTTTCCTGCTCCGCCTCCTCCTTATCATCACTACTCGGGGAAATGTACGACAGGAGGCCAAGCGGTTGATGGAAGTCAACTACCTGGGGCCGTACATGGTCACCCAGGTGCGTGTGGGAGGATGAATTGGGAGGTTTATGTACGGCCACACACTACGGCCATGCGTGTTCGCACTACGTCAATTGCTCTTCCCACTTCCCGCGTCCTTTCCCCTCCCTCCCCTCCCTGCCTCGTTCCACCCGCATTTCTCACCCTTCATCATGTGTCCCATGTTTGCATGTATTCATCATGTCTCAAGTGATATTCACATTCCGTTCCGTTCCCTCCCCTCCTCTTTTTCCCCGCCACCCGTGCTCCAGGCCTTCCTGCCTGTGCTCCTCAAGGGTGGTGCTCGTGCCCGTGGTGTGTTTGGCGGCATGGGGGGGGAGCGGCCCTCCGTGGTCATGATCACGGGCTTCTCAGGCGCGGTGCCCACCAAGTACATGTCGGCGTTCAGCGCCAGCAAGGCGGCGCTGGAGGTGAGAGGACCTCTCCATGTACCCAAGAGGTCTGTAGCTGCCATGTAGCTGCCAGGAGGAACAAGGACAAGCTGCGCGTTGTGTCCCAGCTGGAGTGGTGGAAGAAAGGTTTCTTGATGGCCAGGCATGGTAGAGGACACACGGCTAGTCGTACATTGTGGTGGACTAATGAAAAGCCGATAGTGAGCTTAAACCAGACCGAGGACGAAAACCAATTTAGGAAATGATACTTTGATACCGTTGTTGCTGATTGAGGTAATCCTTAACGGGATATCCTTACAGCCATTTTGCACTCTAGTCGCATAATTCCTTCTTTCTCCTTTCCCCTTCCCGTCCCTTCCCACACCACCCCAAACGCACACCAGTCGCTGGCCGCCTCCTTCCGTACTGAGGTCGAGTCTCAGGGCGTTCACGTCGGCGTCGTACAACCTGGCCTGGTCAAGTCAAACTTCATGGAACGAGCAGCATTCTACGGAAAGAACGGCGAAGAGGACCGCAGGTGTGTATATGTGTGTATGAGAGGGGGGGAAAGGGGGAAGAGAGAGAGGCGCCGCGTGGCCATGGACGAGGACTTGGCAGGTCTTCACAAACCCCGTGTTTTACTTCCGAGTGTTTCACTTTTAATCAGAACTTTAGTCGAGTTTTGGTTTTTTTGGTTACTTAGGGCCACTGTGACAGTTACATGGTGGGCCTCCAAAGGGCTGTGTGGCCCATGCAAACTCCGTGTGAAATTAAATCCCTTCACCACTCTCTCTCGGTGTCCCCTTCGGAGGAGGTGGCGGACGTGGTGAGAGTGTAGCCCGCATCCCCCCATCCTCACCTTCACCGTCTCCCTCCCTCCCTAACTCCCTCCCTCCCTGACACCTCTCGGGTCACTGCGGCAAAAGCATCACGACGCGCTGTGTCTTCCCCACCGTCTCAAGCCCTATTTACATCCTCTTACCTTCCCACCACCCCAGAAGTCCCCCCTAAAACCCCAAATACCCTTCCTGTCTCTCCCCCCCAACCAACTCATACCGAAACTCCCCCTCCAGGTCCTTCCGCCAAATGTTGCGGTCTCTGCCTCTTTCCCAGACTCCCAATGAGGTGGCTGAGGCCGTGTACAGCTGCGTGGCCAGTAAGAGCAATGAGGTGTCGGTGGGGCTACCCTTCGCGGTGGCTGCTCAGGCGTACAAGTACACAGGACTCAACCCTTCCGCGGTGCCCTTCACGTGAGGATGTGCGAGAGGATGTGAGAATGCCGTAGGCGCTAGAAGGTTTGAGGCTGTTAGCTGCGGCTGCGCTAAGGAATAGGACTCTCTTGAACTCCAAGCCACTATGCGCTATCGTCAGCTCGAACAACATGGGCCGCGTCAGGGGGGTTTGAAATCCAACCGCCATGGCGGCTACATGCAGTGGGCAGTTACTCATTCTGCGCAGTTGCCCTCCGTGCGCACTTACTTTCCCATAGACAATCAACAATGAGTGGGGTGGCAAGGCGCGCGGTGGTACACTTACCACACGTGCTTTGCGACCGCCATGACGCGTGAGGCTTAAGCAGGCTATTCATTGGGTGTTGTATTGTCGATGAGCTTCCGAGTGGGATGGGATTATGTGATCATACGTGATTGTTTGACATCTGTTACACCGGCTTGTGATGTGGTGGGTGCTTAACTGTTGAGGTAGAAGTTGTCCGGTTAACCTGTTGCCTGATGAATATGCGTTAGTCGGTCCTAGCAACGGTTTGGAGCCATCTTACATTAGTCTTCTGAGTTTGTATAAGAGACGATGGACCTGTTCTTCTCGCAACGGAGGCGCAGCGCACACAGGGTTCGCAGCGCGTTACCCCGCGCCGTGAATCTGATGCAAATGTGTGTCGAGTGCCGAGACACAATTATGGCAATCGTGACTTATTGTGTCGGCCGTGCGCTCTGGGAGTCATCGCAGACCGGCGAGGCCGTCTGAAGTTATGGGGCCGTGCGTGGTTCCAGCACGTTCCGAGATATTCACAACACCAAATGCAAGCTGCAAGCGCAATTCCTACAAGAGCTGTCTGCAGTGACAGCTCACAAGGTTTTTGCAGGATTGCCCGAGATTGGTTAGGTATACATTTGTACACAACGCACCTTGGATGGCAGGCTTTAGCGCCAACTGTTGCGGGAACAGTGAGCCCTACAGCTTGTTGCACGTCCAGCAGGCGGAAAGCGCAGGCAACCTCGGCACTGAACTCATCTAACTCAGGAAGGGCAGCAGCAATTGGCGAAATTGAGCCCCACAGAAAGCAGGGCTTGGCGAATGGTCACCATGTCTAAGAAACCAGGACTCTGCGTGCTTCTAAAAGCTGCCAAAAGTTTGTTCAAGGCACATACGAGCTAGGGCGTGCTGAGATGTGCTGAGGTGCTGTACGGATGTTCCTGGTGGATTTTGTGGATTGCACCACATACAGCTTCACTGCTAAGCAGGAGTTGCAATAAGATGTCTATCTAGTTGTTTACCCAGCTTTTACTTGCACTGCACTTTCCGGTACCGGTACTTGTTGCAAATGGTCCGCAGGTAACACTTTCTTAGTCCCTTTCTAGTAATGTCCCTGTCTTGCAATAGCCCGCCCGACAAACGTTCGTGTGGCTTCCAGGGATGCCTATGAATCGGATGCACCCTCCGGTCCCGGAGGGGCTTTTAACCTGCTCCGGCTTGTCGGGCATTCCAAGCACCTATCATCGGGTTTCGTCGGCTTCGCCATCAAATCCTTCTCTGTGTCAGCTGGCGCCTCCGTTGTTTTTGGCATGGCATCTTACATGCTCTTTTCGAAGCATATCGGCCCCGTCATGCCATTCCTGGTGGGTGCGGTCTTGGGAGTGTTGCCGAACTGTCGAAAACAGGTAAAGGAAAACAGGTAAAGCAGACTATGAAATGGCGACCAGTCAGAAAGTATTCCAGCTTCAAAGTAAACACCTGTCCCGATCCTAGAATTCCAGGACTTGTCGGACTCCAGAGGGAAGGGAAATCCGTTATTATCAAACTCGTCAAAGTTTCCGAACCGTCAGCTCTTTGCGTATGTTGCAAGCCGCTGCCCCGCTGCTGTTGTATTTCATGGCCTGCGCCTGTGGTCAAAACTTAACCAAGAGCAAGAATTGACTTATCGTACGGTGCGTCGCAGGGGGGTGCCGCGTTCGGTTTCGTGGGGGGCCTGGTTCACCGCTACATGAACGACCTGGACGAGGTAGGAAGGGAAAACGCACACATACACGGGACATACATACAGGCAGGCAGGCAGACATACACACGTGGTTATGTCTATGTCCTTTGCTATACAGGCATTGTACTCGTGTGGATCAATCGAGCCGTGAAGAGAAAGCGCGAGTAGGGGACCCGTGGTGGCGCCTGTATGTATATATGTATATGTAGACAGCGGGTTGATAGTGGCGGGGTTGGCGATGGGGGTGAGGGGAGTTCGGGGGTATTAGTATTCGTCCATCAGAAGTACCTCAGCGGGTCGTCTGTCTGCGTGGTGTTCCCGTACAGTCACCCTGCTACCCTCTTCCCGCACTTCACCCTTCACCCCCTCCCCAATCCCCCTCCAATAGATGTCGACTTATGTTCTTTGCAAATATTTCCCCCCCTCCTTCCCCCTATTTGAAGGCCCAGTTGATGCTGACCCGCTACCCTAAGATTATGGAGTACCACGTAGGGCAGGTGGGTGGGTTTGTGGCAGGAGGGGGGCCGTGTTGGTGAGAGTAGGAGCGGGGAGGAAAGGGCAATCTGTCTGTCTGTCTATCGGTCTGTGTATACGTCCTGTTGTGTCAATCCAGTGCAACCTACCTTGATCCTGCCCCACCCTCCCAAACCCCCGAAACCCGGAAATTGCAAAGCACAAAGCACGAACCCGCAAACCCCTCTCCCTCACCCGCCCCAAACCTCCCACCTCCAGGTTGAGCCTAGCGAGCTCCGGGATGTGTCCTTCGCGGACTGGCTCCGAGACCAAAAATCCAGCCTCAGGAAGCAGGGGGTGCTCATCGCGGCCCTCTACTCCGCAGCCGACACACTCAGCAAACTGCAGGTGTGCTGGCCTGAAGGGGAGAGAAAGAGGGGGGAAAGAACGGGGGGAAGAGAAAACGGGCGGGGAAAGGGGGAATTAGTGTGTTTTAGGAAAAGGAAACACCTTGTGTGTAGAGGGGTGTATGCGGGTGCTAGAGGGGAGAGGCCTCTCACGGGGCCACATCCAAGGTGCATCCGTACATTTGGGGATGACCTGCAACTGTAGCCGTACATTGGGGGAGGAATCAGAGAGGCCGCCGCTTTCACACTTGAAAAGGTAGCAGCGCCAGCAGGACGGAGGGCGCCTAGATGGGCCTTGGAACCCGGGGGTTGGAGATTTCCCCACACCACAACTGATAACTGAAAACTGATAACTCTCCAAAATGGTGCAATGGCCCTCTGTTACAGCACCCTCATTGTGCATCCCTCCCTACACATATGTATACATACATACATTCTTACACACCAGGAGGAGGAAGAGGAACGCATTCTTACGGAGAACTATGGGGCAGCAGCAGCAGCGGCGGCGGCGGAACAGTGAACGAAACAGGCACGTGCACATAGACGCAACTCGGATGAAGAACAGCCCAGGATGCAGGGCGAAAAGAACGAGCCCTCCATGTGGTGCTGATGGTGGTGCTGATGGTGGTGGTGGTGGGGAAATACTCGTGGGGCCTCAAAGGGGTTAATCCTTCTCTTACTGAATTGATGGAATAATGGTAAACCTGCAACATATCCCCCCATGATATGCAGTAGTAGTAGGAGGGTTCTCAGAACAGATGTCAGCATCAGGGCGGTGGCTGATGCCCTTGGTGATCCAACATGCCATTGTGTGTATATATATCACTTACATATCTGCCTTGGCTGCCACTGGCTGGGGTCCTATATGACCACATCAGGAAAGTACCATTCAGCAGATGCAGATCCCCTGATATGCCCTCCGGGATACTACAAAGGGGGGGAGGGAGGAGGCTGAAGAGACAAATGGTTCAGCATGGTAGTAGCTGGTACACAGTACGGCACACATATCAACTATAAAATACGTGTGAAGTGCTTGATTCTAGCTTCTCGGGAGGGCTTTCCAGCGGGGCCAGCTACTACAGTTGCTATCGAGACCTTGTACATGTTTACAATCCTGAAGTTGTCAGGTCGACCCCGATGGATCACATACATGTGGATATCGGGTTAGACGACTGTCATTGCACGAAAATTCGTAGCATAAAGTTAGCTATGGTTGTCTGGGAAGGAAGACCCACTGCTTGAAAAACCTAAGGACGGCTAGGTTCATGTGTGGCCGGCACATGACGTGACGTGGACTGCAATTCCAGGTCACCACCGTCCATCAACTAGGGGCGCAATACCTTCCACCATTGGAAGGATTTTCGACCCTGACAGGTCTCGATTGTATGCATGTATGTGTGTAGTGGTGGTGGTGCTGCCCCATGGGGGGTTAATGCTGCTGCTTGGTTTGGGATGGTTGTGGTTTTGGTCCAGCCTTCGCGGCATATTTGCCGCCGCCGCCGCCGCACTGGCGCCCTCCCTGGTGATCATGGATGAGGTGGATGCTCTGGCGGCCGCCAATCCGGGTGGAGGTGGGGCTTGGGAGTGTGGGGCACCTGACATGGACAGAGAACAAGAATTAAAGGTAGGGTGCGTGGATGTAGCGAAATGCAATGCAGCAGGGTCAAGATTCTCTAGGGCACTCGATGGACCTTAGAAACCTTATTGGAAACCTTAAAACCTTAGAAACCCATTTATTATCCGCGAATAGTGATAGAATTAGTTGTGGCATGGTCACCGGCTGTTTTCGTTGTCCTTTCTGGGCCTTTCTTCATCGCGACGTAACAAGCGGAGGGGTTTTTATTGTCGTCATGACCACTAGAGGAAGATATGTCATATGATTTGTATACATGTATGTGTATATGCAGGTACGTATGTATGTATGTATTTATGTATGTTACACGTGGGGGGCTTCTGGGCCGATTGCAAATTCAAGTTATACTGATCGAGAATTGAACATCATGAATGTTTTACCACAAAGCACGACTCAACTACAACATCCCTCCACTCGTTCACCGCCTTCATTCCCACCGTACCATTGTAGCGAGGCCATCTGCCCTTGGACAGCATATTTTTCGACCCCACTGCCTGTATGTAGTGTATGTCTGTCTGTATGTAAAGTCAAGCCTCAGTTGCCATGCGTTGCGCGCCAGGCGCCGCATACATGGATGCTACCCGCATCATCATCACCAGCAGCACCAGCAGCAACATCATGATTACTACCAGCATTACGCTAACGCTACAGCTGCTTTGTTGCAACTACTACTCAGTCAGGTCGCCGTCTCACCCTGGACCTATCCTTCGGTAGCCTGCTGGCCGTATAAGCTCCCACTGCGCTATCGCTACACCTAACTAAAACCCTAAAACCTCATACATTACTAATTAGACATGTCATTACACCTTACAGCAAATTGCTATCGCCCCAGATTGCATCTTCTGGGGCACTACCTCCGTTGCTACTGCCACAATCATCTCCTATGCAACTTCTGTAACTTAAGCTTTGAAAACTTTGGCAGCATGGAGTGCAACGTAGTACGACCGTTGAAATACGAACCCAACCACATTTCCACTGCTGCTGTTGTTGTTGTTGTTGTTATTTGAAAGCCGGCGCCGACACTCGCGTCGTCGTCATCGTTGTCGTCGGCTTACCCGCCCCCCGGACTCCATGCACCACACCCAGGTACGTGTCAAACTGCTTGACGGCCAGTGGATCGTCCGGGAAGGGGTAGTCCGCTCCTAGACGCAGCGCCGCCGCCAATCCGGACATGACCGCAATCTCCTGTGTTCATTACAATACAATTACAATACAGTGTTTAGTGTGCAGTCTGTAGTGTACAGCATGTGAACGACAAACAGAATGGGTGCGGGTGAAAGTGAGGAACGGAAAGGAAAGGACCCGAGACCCGACGCAAATGTGCAGACGTACATCCCCAAACAGCCACCATAGTGCGCCGCTAGACCAGATGCCGTACCTGCGTGTTGACCATAGTGTACGACCCGCAATACCACGTGTGTTTCGTGCCCTGGATGAACCGCACCTGACGACCGTCAGGGGGGGGATTTGAGGGACGAGGGGAGTTAAGCTGTCGTGAGTAGGGAGGGCTTTAGGCCGTGTATGTGTGGTGACGGTGGTGGCGGGGGCCTACAACGAAACACTGTATTACCGGCACTATTTGTTCTCTCTGCACGATGACGTAAACAGGCAAAAACGTCTCCTGCCTCCCCCATGACTGATTGGAGCCGCCACACACACATACATACATACATACATACATACATACATACATACACGCGACGCACCCGCACACCCGAGGGTAAGTGTGGAGCTAGCGGACCTGCGGCTCTCGGCTGCTTAGGAGGGGGCAGAGGGCCCCTCTCGCGCCTCACTTCCCTCCGGGCGAGAGAGCTTAGGCGGTGTTGGGGCTCCGTTGGGTCTGGTCAGCAGCCCCTGGCCAGTATCAGGCCCGGTCAGATACTTGTAACCTTCGCACACACACGCGCGCGCGCGAATACATTTTCCAACCCATTTTTATCCACATACACACAGCTCCGGAGCCAGGGCGGACTTCCCAAAAACTTACGACCCCCCCAAACCCACAATTCCCACAAACATTCCACACTCACACCTACAAAACCCACAAAACACAGCCCGTGGGGACGTGTCGCTCACCCACGGTACCCAGAACGCGAAATGCGTCCAGGTGTGGGCGAATTGCCTCATCCACCGGCTGGCGAGAACCTTGGACGGCCCCACCTGGCTGTCGCTCCAAAGGTGTCGGAGCTTGGCGTCAAGGTAGTAGGTCTGGTAAATGTCCAGGCCAGCAGCCTACATAGGTGAATGCAGTAAGCATATGGCATGAGTACGGAAGCACGGCATGGGGGTGCGCTATAGAAGCATGGCAGGAGCTCTCCCCTCCGCGGAAAGAGCTTAGGCGGTGTTTCCGTTGGGGCTGGGCAGCAGCCCCTGCCCAGTATCAGGCCCGGTCAGATACTTATAACCTTCACACAGACACACATACATACGCAGAAACACACATTTCTCCCAGACAGACACTGCACCCACTTGGGCTTGTTCTCGTATCGCGGCTCAGATTACTCAAAACACCCACACACATAGACACCTTGAGGTGCGGCTGGTAGGTGGACAGATTGAAGCTCATCTCGATCTTGTCTCGGTCGCGACCCGGGTAGGTTCGTACAAAGTAGTTGTCGCGCTGCTCGGGCCTGATGTCGTACATGCGGGCCATGTAGCCATGATCTTCGTGCGTCAGGCAAAAGTCGGTGTAGTAACGCACGTTGCGCAAAAGGCGACGCTCTAACCTGTTTCAATGACCAAAAGCAATAGCAGAAGCAACATTAGCAGCAGTAGCAGCAAGAGATGACGGAATCATCTTTGTGCATTTCCTGGAAAAACATAGTGGGCGTGGTGTGCAGATGTGTGTTGATGTGCCATCACTAACCTACACTTACAAACCACTCACCAAGTGGGGTTCGCCATCGTTCGCAGCACTGTTTCCGCATCACACGCAAACACGACCTCATCAAATGCGGCGCTAACGCCGGCTGCATCCGTGGCCAGGATCGCGGCGGAGCCACTGCCACCTGACGGCGGGGCATATTGCCGTACAAGCTTCGCGAGTGGTCTGATACAATGAGTGGGGTTGGGGTGGAGTGGAGTTGTTAGAGTTTGAGGTTAGGAAAGGTAGAGAGTATGGGCTCCGAAGGGGGGAAAGGGAATGAGAGGCACACATTATAATACACGCGGTCACAGACGGACGGACGGACGGACGGACAAATAGACAGACAGGCACAGACAGACAGACAGACAGACAGACGCATACATACAGACAGATAGACAGGGGGAGGTCGCCCCCCTAAGCCCATAGCTCTAACGCCATACCTCTTCACCAAGGCTCACATGCACGTAGACATGCAATGTACATACATGCATACATACATAAGTACATACCTACATACACTCATACATACATACACACTCCTATAAATATACCCGGATCTATGTGTAACAGAACACACATGCACACACGGCCCTTCGCTCCTGCACGTGGCTCATGTCATAAAAGCATGTGCAATACATACCTGTCACAGCACAGCTTGAAGTTAGACTTGCGGGCGATGGTGGTCCACACCTCCTCCAGCACCGGGAAAGCAAACATCTCCGGAACACTGTTGAGAGAGACACGTGTGATGGAGTTGGTTAGTCGGTTACTTGGTTGGTCAGTCAGTTGGGCTAAGAAAAAGTGTATATCGGTGGTTGGAACGAATGCACTCTTCAGACGCCACTTTTCGGACTTTTCATCGCCAGCACATGCCACCCAAGCTCATGATCAACAAACCCTAGCTCCCTAAAACCCACCACCCTGTACAGTGTACTAGCAAAATACTCCCGACTCCCCCCCCTGGACCCTTCAGTACTCCGGAGCCTTCTGCCAGGTCTACGACCGGGACCGCGCAGAAGCCCCACTGCCCCACCTTCGAGTTTCCCGCCCTCGTTACCCACTCCCCACCGCCCACCGCCCCATCTCCGCCTGGCGCCACACCCGCCGCCTCCATCTTCACTTCCATCCCCAATTCCATCTCCAGCTCTCATACTCCCGTACCCACGTACTCCCGCACTCCCACACTCCCGTATTTACCTGTTGAGCAGTCGCTGGGGGCAATAGTCGAAGAGGCGCAGGTCTGGGTCGAGGAAGACCCGGGCGATCACCGCTGCCGCCACGTGGGGTGTTTGGTTACCGGTTCCGAAGAAGAGCGCCACCAGGGGAAAAACCATTTGGTAACGGAACTCGTCTGAGAAGCGAAGCAGCCGCAGAACCTGTAGGAAAAGAGATTGGGCAGGGATCTCTTCACGGGAGGTGCCAATACTAACCAACACAACCGCCGGCTAAACCTACCCTGTCGATGGGTACGAATACAAACAGCGGCTCCAGGCGTTTGATCCAGGTGAGGACGCGGCCGAAGCGGGCGATCTCGGGCTGTAGCAGGGCAGTGAGCTCGCTAGGGCTGTAGCAGCAGCGGCAGCAGCAACGGCAACACCATCACCAACCATACCAACAACAGCAACATGCGATACTGGACGGCATAGCGGTTACGTGTGCGTGCACATATGTATGAATGCATGTACGGGACAGACAGTGCGGATGTTACCCCAGCAGACGCTCCACCGTTTAGCCGCCCACGAACTCAAGTCGAACACCCTCAGCGACCTCCTCCAAACCACCACGCGGCCCTTCCCGTACAACACGCCCCCTCACCCACCCACCTGTGGTTGGTCCACTGAAGCCTTCCCACCCCGAACGCAATCCGCATCATCACGGGAGTCGGTTTAAATCCGAACATCTCTAGCAACCTCAAGTTGTGGCGGTACGACGGAGCACCCCCCTGGACCTGGTCGTTGATCACGTGCTGTCCTGTGGCATGCGCCCAACAGAAGGACCCGTACGATAACGTTAGCATGTACGTACTCATTACGTACTCCTCATTACGTAATGGGGACTCACCGTCCTTGACAGTGTGGGACGATGCCACCCCCCCGGGCACTGAAAGAGCCTCCCACACCTCCACCTCGAAGCGCTCCGGAAAGCGCGACAAGCTCCATGCACATGCAATGCCTGTGGGTTTGGGTTCGGGGTGGAAAAGGTAGAGTGTGCATGGAGGGGGTTGGGGTTGGGGTAATGCGGTGAGCTGTCGATAGCAGATCATGCCTTTCGGACTCCTAAGATGGTGCTGGAATGCCATGCCGTGCCGGACAGACAAACAAAGGGGGCCGGCAGATGCACGCAGGTAAAACATGAGAGGTTCACGTAATGCTAATTTTACCATTGGAATCAATCAAGTCACATGCGGTGTATGAGAGCTAATAGCGCATGTTGGGGTTTGCTGTCGGAGGCGGCACACCAACTCCTACGTTACGTTTTTTTCGCGCGCGCTAAGTTTTAGTTTCTGTACCTGCGGCACCTGCACCGACGACTAACACTCGCTTCTTGGGTGGCTGCTGCTTGACCTGTGCCTGTCCCATGTTGATTTCCGCAAGGATAGCCTGCCGCACGATTGATAGGCTAAATCAAAATATAGATTTTGCTTCTGAGGTAATAAAGCGTTGTCTTAACGACTTATGGGTGCTCTTAAATTCTGCAGTTGACCGAAGTGCGCGTTGATAGGAATATCCTAGCAGTTCGCTTTGCCTGGCGAGGAAGTCTGACCGAAATCACAACACCCCGTGCATCAGGAGGAGGGCTGAATAACTGAGTTGTAATCGTGGTAGAATTTTGACATTACACAATAGCAGTCTCCACGTCACCTGAGAGGGATGGTCGTTTCTGTGGCTGTCGTTGTCGGGACGGTTTTTTCGTTTGGACGGCCAACATCCGCGAAGCAGAAAATTGCTAAGATCACATTCAAATTCACGTCATATTTTACGTAGGTTTTTGCTTATCTGCTTCTGTGGCCAACGGCTCATATACACAGTGCGCATTGCAAGCTAGTATATTTGCAACATCGCGACCATAAAAAAGCAGCTAGAGCGAGCCTTCAGCCTCCAAACACGATTAAAATACTATTACACCCAAAATGCACAAACTGCATCATGGCGCACTTCGACCCCGGCCATTTCGCAGCATGTTGCGCATGACCACAGCCAGCTCTCACACGGCTGCCGTGCCTCCTCGCCATCGCCATCGTTTGGATATAGTCGGCATGGCCAAGCCATGGCGACCCACCATCGACGATGTGGACAGCATCTCCCGTGGCGGACCCGCCAAAGTGCGCGGAACCGGCAGCAGGCGCATCCCCCACCGCCTTAACGCTGAGGAGCGCACGTTGTACGACTTGGCAAAGAAGAAGGTGCGTCTCGCCCGTGTCCCGATCTGGGGCCTGGGTAGCGTCCCCCAGCACTCTCAGCGTGCTTACGTGCTCTAGTAAGTGCTAACGTCGCATCGTCCCATAGTGCGCTAGCAACTCGGCGTGCTTGCAGTGCTGCGTAATGCCGTACGCAAGCCTTTAGGTCACCCCGCTGCTGTGCCCGCTCCGGCCGTAGCGGTTTGGGGCGCACATTGCCCGCTGGTTGTCCATGGTGTAATTCACTTCCATTGATCATGAATGTTTGGGTTTTTTCAGCCAGTGAGGACCAAAACTCAAGCTCAGCTCAAGCTTAAGCTTTCTCAACACAGGGGCAATGCCATGCCGTATCTCTGCCGTGTCGTACCAACTTTTATCTCGTCCCGTAGGGCTTTCTTGCCGTACGAGGCACAGCGTACCGCAAATTCCGCCATGGTAACCCGCTGCCCAACATTTACAGACAGGTACGTACGATATCGTACTGTATTCTGTCGTTAATTGCTGTACACTAGAAAATTGCCTGGGCGGGGCGGTGCCTTGTGAAACAGGTGTTGTGATGATAGCGTCATCTGCTGGTGGCAGTTGGCAGTTGGCAGTTTGGTTGGCAATCTGGTTGGTCGCGGCAGTAGGGTAGGTTGCTGGACCTTCACTGCTGTCCCGACGAAAGCCGGAGCTACGGCAATGCTCGCCAACCACTGCCTCTATACCGCGATAGCTCTGTATCGCTATATCGCTATACCGTGATACCGCCCCCGGGCTGTATCAAGCCCGCGGCTCAGTTTTTACTGAGACGCATGTATTTGCGATGTCGGTCCCCCCCGGCCACTGCTTGTGTGGTCTGTGTGCAGTGGTGTGACGCGCGGGCACAAGCGTGTGTCGTTGTGGAGCAGGACCAGGGGGGCCTCCGTGGAACCGACTATGTGGTGGTGGACCTGGCACCGTTGAGATGGGAGGACACCGCCAAGGTGAGCGCCCTGCGGCACAGTGGGCAACAGCCGTGTAGCAGTAGCAGTGGCAGCAGTAGTAAAAGCAGTAGCAACAGCCGTGAAGCGGCAGGTGCCTGTCCGCTTCTGGTGCGGTTAGCAACCGCAGTTCGAGAAACCGTATTGCGCCTGTTTTGGTGCATGGCTGTGGGTGCAGGCTGAGCGTGCTTTGCTGGGGTTAGCTGCAGAGGCCGGTCTGAGGCAAGTGAGCTATCAGGAACGTCCCGCGGATGCGCTGCCCTTCAACATTTTGCCACCTTTGGACGGTCTATCAGTGAATGACACAGAGTTGGACGGAAAAAACGGCGTCAAGATGGAGGAGGAGGAGGAGGAGGAGGACGACAAGGGGTTGTTTGAAGGGGACGTGGCGGTCAGTCAAACTGTACACGCGGATGGAGAACGATTGAGTGCTGCTGCAGCTACAGCTACAGCTACAGCTGCAAATGTTCTTGGGGGGGCTGCTGCCGGCGGTATGGGCAACTGCGATGACGACAATGGCAGTCGCAGTAGTGGCAGTAGCAACAGCGGCATTGGAGAGGGGGGCAGCAGCAGTAGCAGTAGCAGTAGCGGGGGTGACGGTGGCGATAACACAGCGGCGACGCCGACGGCAGGGTCTGATTTACAGCGGGCTGTGTCCATTCAGGCAGAAGTTGTGCGGCGGTTGAAGGTAGGTTGAGGCGGTTAAAGGTTGGTTGGATGGGCAGGTGCGCGTGTACGAAGGGGGGAGAGGTGGCTCTGTGATAAATATGGACGGGTGTCCGGATGTACAGATACATACATGCATGTACGGTGCGTTGTACGGTAAGTACGGACGTAGGACCATGCGGGCTCCCTCTGCTGCTATGGCTGCGGGGGACCAAACGAGGTACGACATACATACCGGAATACACCTTGGGAAGTGGGGAACAAGGGGAGAGCCAGGGGGGTGATGAAAGCAGTGTGCGGAGGGAAACGGCACCCAAACCAAACTACCCATTGCGTGCCGTAATGAAACCTTCCCATCATCATCATCATCATCATCATCATCATCATCATCATCATCATCATCATCACCATCATCGTGCCGTACAGGCTCGGGGCCTCACGAACCAAGATCTCGCCGTACAGGACCAGGTTCGAGTGTTGCTTCAGTTGAAGGTGATTAGACAGCAATACGATTTGCACCGCGCGGAAGGGAGGGTTTCGGCGCGGATCCCGCGTGTGTGTGCTGTGTGTGTGTAGCCGGATATCTAGCGTTCAGAAGAGGAGGAGGAGGAGGAGGGAGAAGGGGATGGATACATCCCAAGGTTTCGGAGCCAAGGCGGCTAGGGGAGCGTAGGGCAGGGTAGCGCCTGGGCACACTCTTCACGAAAATGTCATAAAACAAAACGTTACTTAAGGGTTTTTAGGGTATAGGCTTTCTTAGCAAACTATTACTTGTGAATATTCTTTAACGGAACCCGTACGTCTGTTATGTATGTCGTGCTCAACGCACCCGGCGGACATCTACAGATGGACCTCGCCCACGCCGAGGCGGCGGCCCAGACTGCCGTACTGCCGCCGCGAGAGCCGTTAGGTGGTTTGGCTCCAACGGCGTCGCCATCGGGGGATTCGCAACCACCACTGGCGCCAAACTTGGCAGTAGGAGACCTTCGAGACGGCGGCGGCGACGCCGTTACGGCTATCCAGGGAGAAGAAGGACGACTTTTGGAGTCGGGGCACACCGCCTCAGCCGTCACTGCCGCCGCGGCGGCGGCGGCGGCGGCGGCAGCGCCGCGACGGTCGCCCCTAGAGGATTACTACCGTCTACCCATATGGCAAATCCACGCCGTTCCGCTGTTCTTTGAGGGCACTCGATCTGCTGCCAAACAGTTCGCCAGCAAAGCCGTACAGCGGGTGGCGGAGGCGGCTCCGGCAAGGAAAACGGTCGCCGAGGACGTCGCCCCGGGCGGCATCGCGGCGGTGGCGGCGGAGCTGACGATGAAGGATTCGGAAACGGCGGCGGCGGCGGCGGCGCGGTGGCACTAGCAGGGACGAAGCCTAGATTGGGCATTTGGGAATTCGACTCGTGGTCGTGGTGCTGGTCGATGCGGGAGTTCAGGCGCACGAATGATAACTTCCTTTGCTGAGTTTTCCGGGGTGAGAAGTCGAAGTCGAGCCTCAACCTGTACCATGGATGTGGGCATGACAGGTTTCCATGACGATGGGAGCCATTTCAGAAGGGTGATGGTGGATAATGCTTTGTTGAAGCAAGCTAATGGGTGGAATGGCCTGAGATGTAAGAGTTCATGGGAATCCTGACGATGTGGTGTCGGCTTTATGAAATAAATGAAGTTAAACACTATTATAAGCCGGTCGACCCTGCTGCAGGACATTACTTTGTTCGCAGTTGTATTGTTGGCGTTGCATAGCGGGAAAAAAATGGAAGTGAAACGCAACCTCGTTGGCGGTTGGGTACCGTCGCCTCTTCGCAAGTCAAGGAAATGCAAGGTGGAACTTTCTCCCGTAATCCAACAGTGTGTAGCGGACGCAAGTAGCTGTAGAAGAAGACCGTAGATGTTTGGTTTTGCTTTCAGGACAGAGGCTTCGACATTCGTAAGCGGTACTTGCGTTATTGCCAGTCACAGTACCTGATAGTTTATTATTATCGCCACGGCAAAGAAGGCCACCTTAGGACTGGCCTTTGGCTGGCACATCAAGTGCTATTAATCGGCCTATTATTCGTTTCTACACTCTGGTGGCGAAATGCCTTCAAGGAAATATAGCTGCAAAGGATGTTTGTGTGATTTACGTGGTTGACAAGTAAGTTTCTATGGGAATGACCGTGCCAGTTCGCAAACCTCGTGGATACTGTCCACGCGATAGCTAGGCAATTACAAGAGATGAAAGAAAGGCACACCAAAGATTCAAGCAGTATTAGGCTGAGTAGGCTTGCACGCAAGGATGGCAATGTAGCTCCTTAGAAGAGCGAGAGTCCATAAGCAATAATCCTCCGCTTACCCAAGCTCTGTCTATGCTTAGTACCAAACTTGACATTGCAGAACCTAACTGTCCAAGCGTCGAAGGTTGTTATGTCCTCCGACCGCGTCAGACTTTCGACGGGGGCGACCACCATCGTCCGAGCACCCATAGCGCGTGGCAAGTCCTTCGTCGGCAACGCAGCTTTTCGGGCTTCCCTTCCTGAGCTGACCAGGTAGATTTCTTCCCCCTGGTTCACTCCCTTTCCAATCTAAAAATGTTGACTCCAGGCAGTTTTGACATCTCAAGCTCATTGTGCACCGTTGCCGATTACACACACCCTGCGGCTACATCAAGAGCACTTGTTTATCCCTCCGTGGCCCTCACTTTTTCGCTCTTACTACGGTGTCCTCTTCTTTTCTCCTGCGCCCTACTCCCACGCACCCTACTCCTTCTCCATTCCTGCTTCCATCGCAGTCGCGAGCAGCACGACGATATCAGCCATGAGCAGCAGCAGCAGCAGCAGCAGCAGGATTCCTCTTCCTCCATGCCCCCCATTCCCCTGTACGGCAGCGTCAGTCCCGTACCCTGGCGCGATGCCATACTCGCTAGCAGCGCCTCTCCGGCTGTCACGACCCTCCCTGTCACGAATATTGCCACACGGAAAAGCCTCAATAACGCTGCGCTCCCATCCAGCCAGACGTTACCGGTCACGGGCACGGCCGGCGGTGCCGCCGCCGCTGGCGGCAGCTCGTTTTATCGACGCAACGGCGTGGCGTCAGCGCCTGTCGTAATCCCGGCGGCCGCTGCCGCCAGCGTTGGTTTCGCGCAAGACCTGACTGATGCGGACCGACGGCGTCTGCCGGCAATCGGTGCTGTGTACAGGCCGACGGCGACCTCCGCCTCCGGTACGGCACCTGGGACATCGTCAATGTCATCGGCGGCGGTGACGGCGACGGCGACGGTGACGGTGTCTCCGGCGGCTCTAAAGGCCACGAGCCGCAAAATGGTCACGCTACCTTCTATTCGCGGCGCGACCGCGGATATGGGCGGTGCCGCCGCCGCCACCACTGCCGCCACCAGCGTCACCACTGAGGGGGAACCGCAGCCCATCGTCGTCAGCTTCGTGCCATCACGGCCAACCTCGGCGAAGCGCAGCACGAAGCGTGTTTTTAGCCGTCTTACACCGCAGATCATAAGCACTGACGGCGCCGACCCCAGCGGCGGCGACGTTGACGGCGACAGCGGCTTCGGTGGCGGCGATGCCGACGTGCTCAGCTCTGAGCCGTCGCCCAGG